ACATATACAGTGGTTTGTTAAGTGTTTTTTTCAATAGCATTTATATAAAAGTCACAGCTCAAAGCATTTCTGAGTCTTTCTACAAGTTAAAACAATATAGCTAAAACAAAGGCACACAAAATGAATGCATTCTTTTCAAAACTCACATTATTTTTGAGGTCTGCTCGAGATCCTCCAAGTAACAAAACACGAGTACTCTGGGAATGGCTGTTCTGGCAAGCCAGGTGAAGAGGTGTGTTACCTGCCTTAGAGAAATACATGAAAATACAAAAGCCATATTTAGAAATTGGACATAAACATTAAAAAATAAAATCTCACAGGTCTTCCCATAGGAAGATCCACCCAAGGGTGAGAAACCATCACTGCTGTTTTCCCAGATATATGAGCTGAATGAACCAAGGGAAAAAAACACCCTCTCTATGCTGGAAATTATTTATCTGGGATATAGTAAAGGCAGAAACTGGACAGTCTAACGACACCTGCATTGCTCAAGTCTGTTTGCAGGAAGCAAAAACTGTAGAAACTGTCTGGTTCATTAATATCAAACAGCACTATCAAGTATGTAACATAAAGAAATTATAATTCTTGTGTTGCATGTTTCCTCCCCCTCCACACACACACACAAAGAAAGAGGCTGCCATGGCACAGCATCTCTGCTCCCAAGCAGAGCCAATCACCCCTGCCGCAGGGTGTCAGGCAGAGGAGGGTCACAACAATTTCTGTTTCCTTACTAACATAACACAAACCAGCTCCAAGTCTGGCTGGGTCTGTAGGTGCTCCCACAGGGCAGGACGCAGATTTTAGGCTATGGGATGCTTCATTGTTCAGAGAGCACGACAGCCTCCAGGCAAGATGAGAGGGGGGAAAAATAAGACACTCAAACCCCAGAGAATGGCATGCTAAGGTTTCTGAAAGAAGCAAACATGCAATTTTTTACAGAGAGAGCTCAAAAAAGAGTTTACATGTGTATTCTCTTTGTAAAACTGTGAAGGATTTTATTGGTCTGACAAGTTTTTTTCTGGCAGCACTTGGCTTTTGCTGGCCTGAAAATGTGTGGGGGTTTTGGCTCTTGGGAGCTAGCAATGAAATCAGCTCAGGTAAAAAGGTTTTACATGCTTACTAGGCTGCCTGTTCACATTGATTATATCCTTTAATTTGTCCCCTGTGCTTTCAAGACAGAGATCAAAGCTGCAGGGCTTGAATTACAAAAGGTCAACTCATAGGTGGTGGTCTTAGGTCTCCAGTTCCATGTTACAGACTATTTCAGGCCTGAATTAAGCTTCTAAGCTGTGGCAGACACAAACTCTTTCTTTCTTGACTAAACTGCATTTTAGAGGTTTTTTCCCCTCCTGGTTTTATCTCTGAACAGCCTCTGCAATGTCCTTATCATTTGCTGTTTGGACAGTTGGCCCTGGTGGGAAGGCAGAGAGGTCCTGTGCAGTAAGTGATGGGTGAGAATGTCAATGCTCAGAGAAGTCATGATGCTGACCCCTGGGGCCAGGGGTCACAGAGCAGGCTCATCTAGCTCATCTCCCACGGGGTGATAAACCTGTCACCAGCTTCTGTGAGAGAGTAGATGTGAGTTGTACTGATCTGACAGTCAACTGAATCTTCACTGAAATGTACAGTCTGATGGAGGATCTAAAAAGAAAGGCTACAACCCATCTCATGGGATGATCTATCACAGCAGAAGAGTTTTTATTAAGCCAACTTTATGGAAAATAAACTGCATCTCCAGGGCGATTCCTGCATGGGACTGTTGTGTTTCACTTAATAAAGAAGTAATCTTCAACTGCATTGCTCTTTCATATACAACTATGCTCAAGATGCTGTGCAGTGAGAGGTGTATCTGTACAAGCATTCCCCGAGCAGTCCCAGGAGTTATTAACCAGAAGCTACAGAAAATATAGAGTAAAATCCCTCCTGACTTCTGCTGCTTAGCAGGGTTGGGCAAATTCAGGAGCCTGTACCTTTCCCATCCAGCCAAAATCACACAACAGCAAAGGTGTAAAACAACAGCCCATAAGGTGCTCCTGCACATGGCACTCAGCCCTGGCTACCAGAAAAGGTGTCAGAAAGATTATGCCTTGTCATCAGTAACATAAATAGTTGAGAAACCAGAGAAACCATTTGGGGATTAAGGAGATTCAAGCTCTTTGTTATTCTTGAAATCAAAAGGGGTAAAAGCTTATTTGTGTGTGCAAGCATGCACAATTCTCATGTTTTTCAGGAGCTCCTGAGAAAAGATCCTGTCCATTAAAAAACACCCAAGCAGTGGAATGCAAAGGGAGGGGATTGTGTGGGTAAGACATCAAAGACCAGTGCAGGAGCTGCAGTATTAAAATCTGCCAATCACATTTCAGACGTCAGCCCCCCTGTGCTACTCTGTGCACATGCTTTCCAAGAGAGGCTGTCTCCAGCTGACATACACTTTATTCTAAGCTAAATCTGCTAACACCCTGAGGCATCCAAGCATGTAGGGCAACCAGACTTGCATCTTAGGCCCATCCATACCTTTGTACAGAAATATACGTATATACACAGACAAGCATTTCCAGGATAGGAGTTTAATGGTTCAAGCATGGGAAGTTGTCTAAAGTATCTTTGATACAAATCTAGGTGAATATGACAGCAAAAATAACTACAGAAAGTAGAAATTGAAAGTTGGAACAAAATAAAAGGAGGAATACACACAAAATATTATCAAAGATGATGAAATTACAGAGCACAAAGTGACCATAACTGCACACACACATGCATACATACTGCACATATACACGTGCACCTGCAGAAACACTGCCATTTTACCAAAAATCTTGGGCTCTGGTCAGTTGCCTCCCTTCTTCCCTTTCTTTGCTAGCCCCTTTCAGCTGTCATTTTAGAAACATGTTTACCAAAAACTGCCCTGAGATCCCACACAGCCAACCCAAAGCCCTCTTGCCTGTGACGGAGGAGATGGTCCCAGCCACACGATCTGACTGATCCATCGGCACCAGGGTCCAAGCCCTGGCTCAGCTCACAGCACAGGCTGCTGCCATCCTTTCTTAGGCCATTTCATTAACTTGTGAATTAGTCAGTTGAAGACAAGCCTCCCACAGACATTACTATTAGAGTGGAACTAAAACCTCTTGCTTTGTTATTCTTTCCTCTAAACTGCTCTCCAGGTATAATAAATACGAAAAGGAAGATAATCCAGGCTCATGAGAAGATTTTGTTAAGAGCCTACACTCCTGCATTAGGAATAACTTTATAACAAAAGACACACTATTTTTTCCCCACTGTGGCTTACATTCACTGGGCTGCTTAATTTCTGGGGAAAAAATGGATTTTGAATGCCATTATCCCATTAGTAGAATTCATTTTCATTTTAAATTACACCAATCACAAAGAATCTGCTCAGTATAAATTAGAGCACCATGGAGATTTACACAGGAATTGCAGTGTTTCTCAGCTGTAATTAATGTATCATTCAACGTGCTATTGAGCTCCTCCTGCATCAGCTGTCAAAATCTGCATTTCCTAATGCCTGTGGAGAAACCATCCAGGCGTAATAAATGCAAAAGAAGAAGATAAAACAAATCCCACCAGGAGCTGGTCGCTCATCCACCAAGAAATGCCATGGCCAGAGATCTCCAGTGATGAGAATCAACCACCTCACAGGAGAACAGAAAGCTCCCCCTGCATGGGTCTCACCTTGTTCTTGGCAAGAACGTTGGCTCCAGCTTTAACGAGCACTTTGGCAGACTGACTGAATCCATGCCAACAAGCTTCATGAAGAGCAGTGTTCCCATCCTGAAGAGCACACACACAAGAGCTGAAGGTTAGTGCGCTGTGCCCACATACAGAGTAATGTCACATTCAGAACTCAGAAGCTGCAGCCCCCACTTGCTCAGTTAAAAAGTAAAACATTTTCTTTTCCTACTAGCTTATTTTCTATTTTATTTTTACCAAAGGCAGATGTACACCTGACTAAAACATAAAATAACTTCCACTGACACTTTATGTACTTCAGTCTCTCTCATCTTTATATTTTCTTTCTTCCCACACCTCTTAGAAAGCAGAGAACAGTACTAAAGTTGCTGTTTGGATCTTGGAATTAGTTGTTTCCTCCCAGACTAAATTTACAGCCTAGGATTCTCAGCTTCAGGGATAATCAAGGGAAAGTGCAGTGTCTTGCATAGGGCAGAGTACGGTTGTACATTTCTTTAATTCCTCTCTTACTGAGCTGAGACCAGACTCTTAAATCAAAAACCATCAGCCTGATATAAAAAATAACTAAGTCAGTACTTTGTATTAGAGACAGTACAGCTTTTTTCCAATTTAACTGTTCCAATTACTTTCAAAGCACCATATACTTACTTGTGATTATAAACCATAACTCTCTCTGAGACCTTAATATTACTGGCTGGCAAGCCTGTTATCCCACAGGGCTCGGCTTTTGCCTATTACCTTGTCTTGTCTGTCCAAAGCACAGCCCTCTTGAATCAGAGCTGCTATAACATCAGTGTTCCCTACAACAGCAGCCCGGTGCAATGCTGTCTGATCACCCTGCAAAAAGAAGCAAGTTTGTAATTGGTACCATTCCCACTTAATTTTGACCCAAAGCAAATGCGTATCACGCACAGGGGCTGCTTCTTCAACACACTGACTGTTTACATCCCAGCTGCCTTTGCAAACAGCTCCCATAAACAACTCTAATTAAAGTCTCCAAGATTAACGAAGATACTGAAAGCATGAGAAAGCTAAAACCAACTGATCCTAGAAGTTTTCAAGTCATCACAAGCCCACATACAGCGCTGAAGCGTCCTAAAAATCTGGTAGTGTTAGAAGGCAGCGAATCTAACGTATTTGGCACTAGGCATCTAACAATCAACAGTGTCTGTAGGGGACTAAAGGGAATTACAGGCTCTTGTAATTCATCGTTGTGATCCTCCAGTACTTACACTAACTGGATGAAGCCTCTCCTGTTTTGGCTCTGATTGCTCCATCAGCCCTGCTTAGGATAAGGAGCATGAGATGAGATCGGTCTCTTCAGCACCTCTCATGAATTTACTAATTAGAGGCAATTTTACGATGAGGACCACAACTGCAAGACCATCAACTTAACTCCACTCAAGCAACAGAGTGATCTTGAGGTCCAAATGACTTCCATTTACCATTGACTTGCCACGTAGCAGCAACAAGCAAGTTTCTTACATCAGTTTATTTCATTTATGGCCAAGTTTCCAAAAGAAATTAAGCTGATGTGGTCAGTCTTGTCTGAGTGCCCATCTAATCTCCCCTCTAACAACTGTTGTGCTAATTTGCTGAGCTAGGGAGCCCAAGATTAATTTTCTGCAAGCCTTCCAGAAACTGAAGACTAGGGAGATGCAAACTAATGACCCAGCCCATCAGGGGTTACCCATATATTTTTGTGTGCGTGTTGGTGACACTGTGATAAACGAGGGGGAACAGGAGGATTTATGCAGCAGTATGTAGGGATGTAAGACACTGACTGATGGGAAAATGAGCTGCAACAGCTCCACTGCTGCCACAAAAACCGGTCTTGGCTTTCCTTTGAAGTTGCTTTGAACCCACAATGCTGAAGCACAGACTGAGTCCAGACACAAAGACTAGCTTCAAAGCTGCACACAGCCTTTTTGGGGGATGAATAAACAGAGTGGGAATTCAATCCACTTCTGCTTATCTAGATAACAGTTACCAAAAACACACACAGAGCAGAAATATGGGATGTATCCTGAAGCAAAAAAAAGCTTGCAGAGGAAGCTTGTCCTAAATAGATGCAAAATTTCTCTGTTACAAATTTTTATCAGTTGATACTACATCATGTCAAGTACTAAGACTAGAAGAATTTTTGTATTTTCCGTCCTACAGTCTTTGTAAATAGTCTTTAGATAACTGGATAATTTTAATAATTTGTTCTCAAAGGCAGTTAGCAGCTGACTTAAAAATTGTTCTTAGTGGGGCTGTTTTGTGCTAATGACAGCAAAATATTTATTAATCCATAAGTAAAAAATGAGCATTGCCAACCACAACCTGTCAGTAACTCCTGTTACGCCAACTGCCTCCACCCGTAAGTCATTAAATTGGCTTAAAATAATTAAGTTGACTTTTAAAAATTGTGTTGAGGGTTGTTTTTTTCTCATTTGTAAACTACGTTTTGTTGTTAGAGGTCAGACATTCTTCCTTGTGTTCTTGTCTCTACTAAGACTGGAAATGTATTTTAAGAGATTTTGAGCAAAGACAGTAATGGTTCCAGGAACAGAGACTTGGAGACAAACATGAGATATTGGAAAACTGACAGCACAGCAAGTTCGGAGTTATTCTTAATTTAAAGATAACAAAAACTTTATGGAAGATGTCTGAAATATACCATCTCACGAGTGCAAGTGTCAGGTAGCTTCCAGCAACTATTATTGCACAGAAATCTGGTCCCTAACAGACCAGGGAAGAACTTAACACCCTCCCTTGCTCGTGCATGGTACCGATGACTGGCACAGCTACTCCAGCTGCAGCAATGGGTCACGTGGACAGTGCAAAGGTCACTTTATCTGACTACCACCAAGTGGAAAGTAATCTGTCAGCCTCTTACCCCCAGCTGGTATTGTTGCACCAACAAAACTATGGGACGTATGATAAAAAGGACTAAAAGAAAATGACATCTGCCATTGTGATGGATGGAGCTTTAACAATGAATGGTTGGTTCCTACTTCTTTACAGTCTGGAAAATTGATTGTTGAGAAGACCAAATTGGAAGCAGGAGTGCATTGTATTAGATTTAGTTTGCAATTAAGGATATTCTTGCTGGGCCAGTTTAAATCACAGCTGTTCTTGTCATTATCCCAACCCCATCACAGTAATTGCAGCAAGGTTAAAGGCCGTTCAGCTTTTCGGGGTTTGTAGATATATGACAGCTACTTCTAATGGCTCCTCAGTTAAATTAAAAACAAACACTTTTGGGAAGAGGGAAGCATATCTGACTGCTGCAGGAGCAGGTCTTCCTTGGGGAGCCTGGCCCAAGTGCTGGGGGGCCATTGGCTGTGGCTGCAGAGTGGCACTGGGATGGTTTCAGCCATGCCCAGGCTTTGTTCCATACTATCTTCTTGTCCCCGAAATAGAAGCCTGGGTAGGTGAAGTGACACAAGTCCTGCAGATGGCAGGTGCAGGAACTTCCTGCCCAAGGTGTGAGCTTTGGTGCTGACACACTCCCTACACAAGCATGGGGAGAGACAAGCATCTCAGAGTAAGGTCCAGCCAGCACCCTGACCAGGTAAATAAACACCTCACCCACGTAACAGAGAGTGTCAAAGGACATCTCAAACCTGCTTCACCTGGACTGAGGCACCTCCCAGTGAGGAGATGGCAGGTATCAATGTCCTGGTGAAGGTCCCTACCCACCCCAGGCCGCTCAGCCAGCAGGGCAGCACCTGACTGACTGCCCTTTGGGTCTCAGCACACACATCAGCCTTAAACTGCTTAAGGTGCTGTGGAAGCTGAACCACCAGGCTCTGGTGGCCTCTGTGTGAGTCACTGAGTGACCCAGCCACAGATGCTGAAGCCCCTCTATAAATAACACTGCTGCACAGCTGTGGTTCTAACCTGCCCTGCCTCGCCATTAGCAGAGGAGCAAACCCCCCATCTTGCCTCTTAGGGAGCCAGAGAAAACAGACGAGTTATTTTTTTTCACAGCATGAATTTTCAGACAGTGTAATCACCTACTCATGTATTTCTCTATTAGCTGCTAAAATAACTGTCTCTGAAAGCACTCACCAGAGTTATGCCTTTAGCAAGGCATTTAGAGGCTGTTCCAGAGGCTCAGAAATTGCACCAGTAAATGCCTATTAACTGCCCAGACTATTATATTGGGCATAACTCATGATCCAATTTGTAAGTGATTTATGCCTTAGGAACAGACCAGAGATGAGCAGCAATGAAGAGAGAGAGCCCCAGTGCTGTGTCACGCAAACGTGACCTTGGCAGAAACAACAGACTCTGCCTACGTGCAGACATGGGCCCAAAACCAAAATGCACTTAGGTGCTTAAGTGAGGCTCAGCAGAAGTAAAGCACTTAAGTCTGTAACAGCGTGTCTTAAATCCCCTTCCTCAGCTGCTGCCCAGCCCTGAAAGCAACTCCACTTGGTTGCTTCCATCTCAATGCCCCAGCTGTCTCAGTTTGCAGGCTGCCACGTGGCACTGGGGAGGTCAACGTGCAAACACACACCCAGTCCTGCCACAGCCTCCAACACAGGTGTCTCCCCTTCCACGAGCTTGCTGGAAAAAGCTCCATGCAAGGCTGGAATGGGAGCCTGCATCCCAGGTGCAGAGGATAAGGGATTGCACACCCTGCCTGGTCTACCTGTAACAGGGCTACTGCACAGCAAGGACCAGCAACAGCAGGTATGTTTCCAAAGGGTGAAACCGTGCTCTTTACAGAGCTTGAATGCCTGCTTTCAGGAGAGGGCTACATGCTGGGAGTCCTGAAGAAAAGCAGATATCTAAATCTTGACCTTCTTCATGGATTTTGGCACAAAACACTTTGGTATTTGCAATTATCTCCTCAAATTTCTTCATTTCCTAACTTAAAGCAGCGGAGGCAACCACTAGGCCCAGGCACCTAGGAACTGGATAGGCACCTGTTTTACATCTTGAAGTTCACCCCAACGGAAAGGACACAACATAAGCAACTCACAAAAGGGATCAGGCAGATGTTAGTACCTCTGCCAGCTCTCCTGCCTCTGTCATGGTACAGGAATAGCATGGAGTTACCAGAGCCTCTATTACAAACTCTCGTGCCCAAATGCAATGAGATTTGGTTTACACTAGTTTGCAGTACATACTACATTTTCCTTTCTCTGATTAGAAAAAAAATATTATAACTACTGTATTTTGTTTTCTTGCACACTCCTACTCTCCAGGGTGCCCATCCAGTTGCAGGATTTCCTTTAAAACCCCTCTACAGTGTCACACTTTGCCTCTTCACTGTCCTTCCACATTTGCAGAAGTCACCAAACTGTCTTGCTACAGAATTGCACCAAAATAAGCAGTCAAAACTTCTGCCTTCAATTCCAGGTATAAAGTGCTGGGCAGAATTTGCAAAGTCTTATACTATGAAATCAAACCACTAAATTCACAGTAGAAAGTTCAAAATACTTTAAAGTTAAAATATAGCCAAGTGTTAAACACTCTCATGGATATCCTGAAGCAGCTGTACACAAAAGCAACTGAATGTGCCCTAGTGTTTTGCAGTGTAACTGTGCTGCTCTCCTCCTCCTCTGCTAAAGAAAGGCAGTCATTGGGATACACGGTAAGAAGAGCTTCACTCTGAACATTAAATGATGATGCAGGACCAGCACAAGTGACAAAGGCATGAAAAAAAAATCATGGACGAAAAAAAATACAACTTAAAATTAGGGTGAAATGGAGCACAGGAATAAACCACTTTGCATATTTACAATCAGCTAGAAATCCTAATGAACCCTGGGTTATTGTTCCATTTGAAATTTATTTTCTGCTTATAGAATCACAGAATATGCTGAGTTGGATGGGACCCATCAGGATCACGGAGTCCAACTCCTGTAGGGCACCCCAAGAATCACAGCACGTGCCTCAGGCGGGCTTGGTGCTGCAGCTTCCCTGGGGAGTTCGTTCCGGGGCTTGACCACCCTCTGGGTGAAAAACCTTTTCCTGATATCCTATCTGAACCTTCCCTGATTCAGGGAAGTTTTGGTACCTTGGGCCTCTGTTTTATAATTTTTTAACTGGTTTTCCCAGCTAGATTTTCAGAGAGCAGATAGAGGGCAGGAAACCTGATACAGAGCCCCCAGCGCAAAGCCCACCATGCAGCCATGCACCGCAGAAGAGCTGGGTCATGCCAGGCCACCAGGCCAAGGTCCCACAGCATGCAGCCATGGGAGACATCAAGCTCAAGGCAGGGTTGAGGCACAAGAGTTCTAACCTCCTTCTCTCTTTCTGATCTTCTAGGTTCCTTTCTAGCCTTTCTCTTCTGGTTTCTCTTATCTTTTTCGTCCTTGATTTCCTTCACCGGCACAACTTTCTCCTTGACTATTTCTGAGGTGTGTGCTGTGTGGATACTCATTGACCACTCAGAGATGGCATTGGGATCCCAGTAAGAGTTTGCAGTATTGGCAGGGAGAAGGAAAGAGTTAGTTCCTGGGGTGGCATACTCTACAGAGCTGGACTCCACCGGTTGAAATTCATAATAATCCCACTCCAGGCCACTGGAGGTCATTCTTCAGCTAGTTCTTATGGCTCTTACTGAGCTTTAAATAATGTATCTGTGGAACATGAAGTCAGTGTTTTAATGTCTCCACAACATTTAGCAACTTTCTGCTTATCATGTGGCCGATGGAAAGTTAGATCATTAGTTCAAGAGAGTCAACTCCAAAATGAAATGTGTTTAGGTTTCTCTTGTTATTTAGAAAAATAAAATATAGGTAATATTTTTAGAACTTGGGAGATTTTTTGGTGTTACCAAAACAATGCCACAGACAAAAATCAACTAAGTTATTTACTTTTCAATTGAAGACGATACTGCCCACTCTCATGAGCAATTAATCTCTGAACCTAAATCTGTATTTCCTGAAAAACAGCAATGAAACATATAGATGTTAATCAAACCTTGGTAGTAGGATGCCTTCACTGCCAAATAAGCACCCAGTAAAAGTGACAGAAGGCATAACCAATAGATTGCAATTACATGTATTAAAAGAGAATACAAATATATTCTGTGGGGCATAAATAAAGTGTAAAAATTAATGACACAAGGATAAACCAGAAACAGAGAACTTTCTCTGAAGACCTATGCAAAAGGAAAGCAGAAATATTTCAGTTAATACCACAAGCAAAAATTTTCTCTTGGAGTTTTAGCCTTCTGCCTTCTCTGAGACAAATCCAAACACACCCTCTGACACTCAGCAACTCATGAGACTCACCTCAACCCCAACCAAGTGACTAGCACTAAATACAGAGCAAAATCAAAACACATTTTACAGAAACAGTATTGGTGAATCAAGCCTGCATCTCTTCTGTTCAGATTAGTCACCACATTCAGAAGCCGTCTCCAGTTGTAAACAAAGCCCCTGAGAAGCTTGCAAGGCAAGTGAAATAAGTCTTCTACAAGATTAGTATTTCTACAATGCAAGACCCTTCACTAAACTGAAATGATGCTGAACACTGATTTACAGGTTTTCCATGCTATCACGTTTACACATAGACAGCCTTGACTTCATTACCAGAGGATTAAAAACACCCCAGACCTCCCCAAAAAACAGTTCTCACTGAAACCCAGTTTGAGCAAATCAGTGGAAGCTCTTGCATTCTTACAGCCACTTGCACTTCTCAGAAAAACAGACTGAACTTATAAAGTACCCGAAATTTCAGCTTAAATACCTGATGAATCATTTTTGCTAGAAGAAGTCAAAAAACATACTCAGGATACATCTGCATAAACTGATATTCCCATCACTCTCGCAGATCTGCTCCATTTCACAGATGGGCAGAGTGAAAAAATAAAGAGTGCAGGAAGCAGAGTTTCTTCCTAGAAAAACAAGTTTCCCAGAAGAAAGCTGGTTGCACCAGCACTCCAGTCCTGGACTTGCCAGACACAGACTGACTGCACGTCTCACAGGGAAGCAGCTGCTCATGTGAAGGAAACCAGTTTTTCCATTTCTATAGATATTCAAGACCCTCTAGATGTAACAAATCCCTAAGACTATTTTCAGAAGGCACCTAGACATTCCCAGTGTCCTTTTAATAGTCCTCTAACCTCCTTTGGACCTCTACATCCCTTGAAGAATCTACACCTTATTTATTAAGGGGGGAGCAAAAGCAGCTTGTTCCAGTGCCCTATCAGAAGTTAGCAACAAATCTGCAGAAGTCACGGTTATTCAACTGCTGGTGCACATTTCAGTCTACACCTTTGTTCATCAGAGTGAGGTAACTAAAACCGTGTTACCAGTCACTCCAATGCACCTTAAAGGCTGGATCTAAGATTAGAACTACTTCTGTGGAAACCTGAGAAATTCCAATCACATATATTAATGAAGGAAAACAAACTAGCCTTTGCTGAATTAAAAGCTGGTTCCATTGTGCTGATGCTTCACCACACAGATGTGACCACCCCCACAACGAGCACAGCTGCCAACAGGATGGTTTCCCTGCAAGGCTTCAAAGGGCTCCAGGCAGCTGCTCCACACTCTATCTGCTCCAGCATGTGCCTACACAAAAAGCATCTCCCACTTCAGAGAAAGGTTACAATGCATTGTGTGCCCTACCTGACGTCCTCCAGTGGGTTCCCACAAAGTACAACGAACTCTTATTTCATTTCTACACCAAGTGGCAGACAGCAGCTCTCATGGCTACTCACAGCCACCTGACACAACCAGTGCTCTTATAAAGCTTTGCAGTTTTGAGTGAGAGGACCAAGCTATTTGTTGAAAACCATCACATTTCACACTGTCTCCCATGCAGCTTTGCATCTCCAAATTAGGGGTTACATCTCCAAATTAGAAAACAGAGAGACATATTTTGGTTTCATTGAATCCTGCTTCAAAGAAGTAAAGGTCTGCTGCTTTTTGCAAATTACATTTTCCCCTCCAACCCAAGCAAGAGGGCTGTATCTACTTACATCATCCTGAATATCCAGGTCACAACCTGCCTTCAACAAAACCTGGACAACGTGGAGGTGACCCTTGTGGGCAGCAAGATGCAGGGGAGTCCGGCCATGCTGTGAATGAGAAGGAAATAAGAATACTTTAAAATAAATTTTAATGCATGGTAGCTTGCCAGAATTTTATCTGCTTTTCCTCATTCTTCTGTTCGTATCCTGCTCTCTGAAACCTGCAATAGTGGTGACACATATTAGTGTATCAACAGCTTTACCTCAGTTTTGTGTATGCTGAAAACTCCTCCCACCCCTTCTGCAATATTTCAGTTTATCCTGCTGATACTCTACACAAAGGATATTATATTCACATAAGGATAAGTCCTTGCAGATTTGGCTTTGTGTTCATAACTAAGGAGAATTCATGACCCTTTTGTTTCAGTCCCTTTGGAGCACTGAGTTGACAATTGCTTTCAACTTCACTCTGTGCAATGAAGTTGCAATAGTGGGGTAATTAATATATTGTCATCAGTACCACGTTTGCAATAGAAATAAGAATAACTGGGCTGTTGTGTGTGATGGACACCCCCCTTAAAAAGGAATGGAACAATTGTAGTCACTCCAAGTGACTTCATGTATATGACAACTGACTTAATTTTGCCAAAGATCTGTCAGGTTTTTTTCAGACAACACTATTTTTAAACATTACTGAGCTCTAATCCATGAAAGGAAGAGTATAAATAGTCATGAGAAATTCAATCTATAGTGTAATCGAGGATGGTTCCCCAACAAACAAAGGACAGAAATACTTTAATTAGTGAGATGGATACATGATGTAAGGCTTTAGGAGAAAAAACAACAAAGATGGAAATTTGTCAGTGAAATTAATTTAAGAAAAAACAAAACACCTCTCCAACAAATGGACAAATGGGCTCTAAAAATCTCAGTGAAATGACAAGTGAAAACCAGTAGTTACTTGTGACTGAGGCCCACTTGATCATCCTTTGACAGAAATTTAAAAGAAACATCAGGAAAAGAGAAATAGGACACTTCTAAAAGAGGTATAAGAAATTATGTTAAATGAGACTCAAAGAAGGAAAAGATTGAAAGAAGCAGTCTGGACAACAGAGAAGAGCTACAACAAGCAATTCTCTGAACACTTAACCCATACAACCTGAAAAAGAAAACTCATAAGGGAGAATCAAGAACTAATTGTTGCTCTAGCAAATGTGTGTATAAAATCTCAAAGGACCAACATGAAAAGCGAATGTAACACTTTAAGAGCTCTTAAAGAGCAACTCTCTAAAATGAAAATTTTATTTTATTGTAATTAAGAAAACAGGATTCAAGACTTTGTAAAAATCACAGTCTCCGCCCAAAGAATCCTACTTTCTGTATTACTTTTAGACAGGCTTTTTTCAGTTGGCGTCCAGTGATAGGACAAGTGGCAATGGGTGCAAACTGGAACACAGGAGGTTCCACGTAAACATCAGAAAAAGCTTCTTTACTGTGAGAGTGACAGAGCCCTGAAACAGGCTGCCCAGAGTGGATGTGGAGGCTCCTTTGCTGGAGAACTTCAAACACGCCTGGACACATTCCTGTGTGATGTGCTCTGGGTGACCCTGCTCTGGCAGGGGGGTTGGACTGGATGATCTTTCGAGGTCCCTTCCAACCCCTGAGATTCTGTGATACTAGGCATTTTATGAGATAAAGAGCTATCTTACTCTTCACCTGTATCTATTATGTAACTATTTCTTCATTACTGCTGCTATTGTCTATTTTTCCACCCAAAGATTTACCCTGCAAAGGCCCTGATACATCGCCTAGAGAAGGAGCAAACACCTCAAGAGCTGCTGGCTACTAGTGGCCTGAAGTAAGCAGAAAGCAACCACCACCGCTCTGAGGTTTTAAGCAACTTTCCCAGTGGGAAAGCTACTTCAAGTCAATTAAAAATCCAAGCTCAGGACAGGATTGTTTTCCCTAAGCAATCCCCATACCTGCATAGCTGGTAAAGATTCAGGAATTCAGGCTCCTCAGAGCAAAAACAAAAGCCAGCATTGTAATTCACAGAACTGCTGGGGACAAGATGTACATGTCACTACTGACTGGTCCTGTACTTTGCATTATTTGTGCATTGATAATTTTTCCTACAGGATTGATCTGAAGGGCCAGATCAAAGTGAAAAGTCCCCACCCACTCTGACTCGTGGGCCTCTCAAAACCCAAACACTGTCTCCCATGAGCAGCAGCAGCTCATTGCCACAAGGGAATCTTCCATTCCCACTCCATTAAAGGCATGGGAAGGGCTTGCTTTCCACTGTCCCCACTGTCCCTGGGCACGATCCAGCCTGTTGCCTGGGTTCTTCTCACTCAACCTGGCCACAGGTCCCTAAATGCCTTCCCCTGTGGCAAAGGGCACTGAGGACACTGCCTTCTCCATCAGTCTGGAGGAGAGCCAGGGCTATGTCGCTGCTTCAGGTGACTCAATAGCAGGAGGCAGAAAAGTCTCCAGGCAACATGGAGGTGGAAAAAAACAACAGAGAAAAATACCAAAAAAAAAAAAGCCAGATTGACATATCATTCCCAGCTATGAGCAATATGTTTGGATTATGAACATGTGCTCCAGCACATTCAGGTATATGGGTTATGACCTTCTACGTTACTTAATGGCAGTAAATAAATCATGTAATCTGGGCACATTGTGTCCCAGCAGGTTCCTAATGTATCACAAAAAAATTATTCCAACCTGTGGACAGAGCATAAAAAACCCCCAAACAAACCCAACTTGAAGCCAGCTCCTGTACTTTAAAAGGAGAACAGTGTCAACTACATGAATATATAGCATAGCAGGGAAACTTTCTGGTAAGATAAGCATCTCTAACCACTGAAAAAAATGCTGAGGTGCTGCCAAAGGTACTTTGCTAAAAATAAACTATGAAAGCAGAGTAAGTTTACTTCAAGATGATGGACACACCTTCCCATGCAATTGCCACACAGACCATGCCTGATGGTGGGACGCACACCCAAGAAAAGGTTGCAGAACCACAGAAGATCCAGATCACACGACCTTCACCTGCCCATTCATTGCCTTAAGGCACATTAAAATACAGCCTTCCTGGGGAACAGTCTTATCTGGATGAGGCTGCCCTTGCCCCAGGGAGCATCAAGTTCTCCTGTCTTGCTCATGGCCAGCCCCAGGAGATGGGTGCTGGAGGAAGAGAAGGCACTTGCCGGAAAATGCCACCACAGGGCCAGGGAGACCTTGAGCAAGGGTTGCCTGGCTGTTCCTATCAGACAGTGAACAGATTCACATGAACTGTGCATTTCCCATTACCACCCTCAAACATGCAAAAACTTCAGCCAGGTCCCCAAAACTCCATATTTTTATTTTTATTTTAATTTTTTAAACAGAAATCTGAGTTATTGAAACAAAAGATGAGGATTATTTTTTTTTTTTGTAGTGTTTGCATGTTTTGAGATTCTCTATCCAAAAACATAGGTTCAGAGACATCCCACCTATTGGAGATGCCTAGAGAGAGACCTTCAGACACCAGAGCTATTGCATATCTGAAGTCCTTGAGCTCTTCCAACTCTAAAGGGACACTATAAAGGAAAACTATGACCCCAGCTAGGATGGGAGAGTGTGAAGGAGGAACTGTTCCAGCACATTACACTGATTAGCAGCTCAGGCTTTTGGAAGAGCACCCATCGATCATCTCAAAATTAATCACAACCCTGCAAGAACTGGCAATGCCAGATACTCTTTTTCTTCCCGGTAACATCAAGATGAAGGCAGAGATGGGAGGTGTTCCAGCACAGGCAACATAAACACTGGAAAACACTCCCAACTACCTCCCCACACAAGCATATACATACACGCACAGGTATGTATGCATTTATATGTACACACACACCAATCCAGAACAAACTATGAGGGAGAGACAAGGTGATCTGGGTGCCCCTCGGGGTGTGATGACAAACTTAGAGCATCACAGTCTTTGGAGAGGAATTTTCAACACGTCCGCGCCACGATGGGAAGCTCCAGCAGTGACAGCCAGAGCTGCTCTTGCCTGCCTCTGACCTTCTCCTTTGTGTCTGGCAAGTCAAACCAAAAGTCCTCTACACTAGCTATGAAGGTGACTGCTCATGGGCTAACAGGATTTTTTTTTAATAAAATTTTTCTCACAACAATGCATCCTATGTAAAGGAAGGCAGACAATTTTTCCTGTGTGTTTCCTTCACAAATACATTGTGCACTCAGAACAGCAGCACCAAAGAGGGGGTTTATCTGAATACACACATGGGTGCTAGTGGGAGAGAAAACATATACAAGCAAGACTGGCTCCTACAGATGCTCACTGCAAGGAGACAGCACTAAAACCAGAGACTCTTTAACATGCAGATTGCCAACTTAAAAGCTTGTAAGCATTTCCAAATATAAACTGTAATGGTTTGGAGGTTATTACAGAAATACAAATGAGAGACTGCTACAACTTGGGATTAATGAACCAGTAAACCAGTCATTCATATAAAAAATATGCAATTTGGACTTCTATTCAAATGTGAATAATTACTTCAGTGGGCAACAACTCATACAAATCCTCTTGTGTCATGGGCTTATTGACAAAATAAATGGGACCTACTGCACTAAGGCTGCAACTTCCAAAAACCATGACACGCTGCTATAGCTCTGGGGCATATCAGGTTGCAGCCAACACAGTAAACAGACACATGAATTTCAGCAGTCAAAGGCATGGGTAGGGTTTCTGTTTGTATTTAATCTGCATTCTAGCTTCCACACATTGACAGGCAGCTGTCAATACTTACGGTTTAAAATCAGAATTTTCTTAGAGCAGCTGCCAGTGTAAGTGCTTTGCAAGCAAATCACCCCCTGCCTCCACTGGGAGGGCCTTAGCATCACAATCTTTCCTTGTGTTTATGTATTTGTAGATACTTTTCTGCACATACGTTCAGCTGTCCACCTCACCCTGCAAAGGTACTGTTATTTATTCATCCCTTCTGCACTTACATAAAAACATGCCTATCCACGATTTATTAGAAAGCTTGAAAACAAAAACCAAGTCTCATCACATTGTTCACACTGATGATTTGTTAGACTGTTCT